ATGAAGCAGCAGCACAACACAAACATGCTGCTGCTGCTGCTGCTGCTGCTGCGGCTGCTGCGGCTGCTCTTGCTGCCGCTGCAGGTGCAGCTGCTGTGGTTCCTGCTGCTGCTGCTGCGGAGTTGTTGCGGGACAGAGAGCGCAGCACCAAGGCCTCCCCAAAGCCTAAACCCTAAACCCTAAACCCTAAACCCTAACCCCCCACCTCCTATCTCATCAAGGCCGATGATCGAATGCTCTGTTTTCCCATCGCGCACGAGAACAGCCTGCGCGCCCAAACACGCTTTTAGGGTTTAGGGTTTAGGGTTTGCAAGAAGACAGTAAAGCAGCAATCCCTTGCAGACGTAAACCCCAATCCCTAAACCCTAAACCCTAAACCCTAAACCCTAATTAACTCACAGTGGGGAGACACCAGATTTTCAGTCCTGCAAAAACAAACCCACACTTCCTCCTTCGTTAGCTAGGAAGCCATCCAAGCTGGCAGCTAGCTAGCTAGCTAGTTTTCTGGCTAGATAGCTAGCTAGCTAAGCAGCCAGCTAGCTAGCTTGCTAGCTAGCTAGCTAGCTAGCCAGCTAGCTAGCTAGCTAGCCAGATAGCTACCTAGCTAAGCAGCCAGATAGCTAGCTAGCTAGCTAGCCAGATAGCTAGCTAGCTATCCAGATAGCTAGCCAGATAACTAGCTACCTGCCACAGGTATGTGGCTAGCTAGCCAGTTGACAAGCTAGCTAGCTATGAAGGTGAAAAGCTAGCTAGCTAAATGGGCAGCTAGCCAGTTCGCTGTGGAGGGTTTGAGGCGGCGGTCTCGCAGCGTGGGGGCCGCGGGACTGGCGAGGGTTTAGGGTTTAGGGTTTAGGGTTTACGTTCGGCGAGGAAAGGAGCCTTTTCCGCGTCAATTGCGCAAACCCTAATTGAGAGGTTTCTTTTTGCAAAGTCCCTCCAAACGGCCCAGAGCTTTTCCAGGAGGGCAAAGGTGGGGCGGAAGAACAGCAGCACCTAAACCCTCGAACAGCCACCGAGGGTTTAGGGTTTAGGGTTTAGGGTTTAGGGTTTGGGCGGGCGAGGGCTAGGGTTTCGGCACGCAGCGGCGGCCAGGCGGAGCCGCAGCAGCAGTCTGCAGCAGCTAATGGCCTTTGCGGGAGCTAGGGTTTAGGGTTTAGGGTTTAGGGTTTACTAGGAGTTTGGACTTCTTGGCGAGCTCGAAGAACTGCTTCTCCTCGTGCAGCTCTGTGACTGTGCCGTGGCCCTCCTGCAGCAGCTGCTGCTGCTGCTGCAGCAGCTTTTTTCTTTGCTGCCGAATCCTCTCGAGTTCATCCTCTGAGTCCTCCTCCCGCTGCTGCCGCCGCTGCTGCTGCTGCTGCTGCTGCTGCTGCTGCTGCTCCAGTGCTGCATCTATTGCTGCTTCCTTCTCCTGCAGCGCCCGCAGCACCTGCTCCTCCACGCACTTCTCTATGAGGGCAGCGCCCCCCTTCCCAGACGCCATCCCTAAACCCTAAACCCTAAACCCTAAACCCTGAGTCCTCGTGTGTGTGTGTGTGTGCAGCAGCAGCCAGAACGGTCTGCAGGTCGTAAGACACCATGAAGGGGGCGGCTGTCCGCTTAGGGCTGCTGCTGCTGCTGCTGCTGCTGCTGCTGCTGGTGTTTCTTGGTGGTGGTAGTTGCTGCTGCTCCTGCTGCACCGTCCGCTGCTGCTGCGCTTCCTGCTGCTGTTGCTGCTGCTTCAGTTGAGGTGTATCTAATCCTCAAAAAATTGATAAAACGAATCAAAGATTAATTAATTTGCTGCTGCGCGTTCATTGCTTTTGCTGCATGCAGCCCGGGGGCCCCCGGGGCCCCTGAGAACCACCCAAGGCGAAATGGAGCGGAGCGGCTGTGCTGCACCAGAACAGGAGCAGCAGCAGCAGCAGCAGCAGCCAAAGCTGCTGCAGCAACAGTGCTTAATGAATCTAAAATGTTGAAAATCAATAGAATATTAAGAAATAATTTGAAATGAGTAATCAAGACGCAGACAGTATGTGTTTACGCACGTTCCGGTAAGCTGCTGCCGGCTGCTGCGCTACTGCTGCTGCAGCAGCAGCAGCAGCAGCAGCGCATGCAGCAGCAACAGCAGCCGCAGCAGTGGCCTGCTCGGGCGAACTTTGTGAGCAGCAACGCCTTTTGGGAAACTCTATTTTCTAATCAACTGTTTCTGTGACTATCAAAGCTGCAGCGGGACCTTTTGTTGCAGCAGCAGCAGGCCGTAGAGGCAGCAGCAGCAGCAGCAGCAGCAGCCCTAAGCGGACAGCCGCCCCCTTCATGGTGTCTTACGACCTGCAGACCGTTCTGGCTGCTGCTGCACACACACACACACACGAGGACTCAGGGTTTAGGGTTTAGGGTTTAGGGTTTAGGGATGGCGTCTGGGAAGGGGGGCGCTGCCCTCATAGAGAAGTGCGTGGAGGAGCAGGTGCTGCGGGCGCTGCAGGAGAAGGAAGCAGCAATAGATGCAAGAT